TTTTTTTTTTTTTTTTTTTTTTTTTTTTTTTTTTTTTTTTTTTTTTTTTTTTTTTTTTTTTTTTTTTTTTTTTTTTTTTTTTTTTTTTTTTTTTTTTTTTTTTTTTTTTTTTTTTTTTTTTTTTTTTTTTTTTTTTTTTTTTTTTTTTTTTTTTTTTTTTTTTTTTTTTTTTTTTTTTTTTTTTTTTTTTTTTTTTTTTTTTTTTTTTTTTTTTTTTTTTTTTTTTTTTTTTTTTTTTTTTTTTTTTTTTTTTTTTTTTTTTTTTTTTTTTTTTTTTTTTTTTTTTTTTTTTTTTTTTTTTTTTTTTTTTTTTTTTTTTTTTTTTTTTTTTTTTTTTTTTTTTTTTTTTTTTTTTTTTTTTTTTTTTTTTTTTTTTTTTTTTTTTTTTTTTTTTTTTTTTTTTTTTTTTTTTTTTTTTTTTTTTTTTTTTTTTTTTTTTTTTTTTTTTTTTTTTTTTTTTTTTTTTTTTTTTTTTTTTTTTTTTTTTTTTTTTTTTTTTTTTTTTTTTTTTTTTTTTTTTTTTTTTTTTTTTTTTTTTTTTTTTTTTTTTTTTTTTTTTTTTTTTTTTTTTTTTTTTTTTTTTTTTTTTTTTTTTTTTTTTTTTTTTTTTTTTTTTTTTTTTTTTTTTTTTTTTTTTTTTTTTTTTTTTTTTTTTTTTTTTTTTTTTTTTTTTTTTTTTTTTTTTTTTTTTTTTTTTTTTTTTTTTTTTTTTTTTTTTTTTTTTTTTTTTTTTTTTTTTTTTTTTTTTTTTTTTTTTTTTTTTTTTTTTTTTTTTTTTTTTTTTTTTTTTTTTTTTTTTTTTTTTTTTTTTTTTTTTTTTTTTTTTTTTTTTTTTTTTTTTTTTTTTTTTTTTTTTTTTTTTTTTTTTTTTTTTTTTTTTTTTTTTTTTTTTTTTTTTTTTTTTTTTTTTTTTTTTTTTTTTTTTTTTTTTTTTTTTTTTTTTTTTTTTTTTTTTTTTTTTTTTTTTTTTTTTTTTTTTTTTTTTTTTTTTTTTTTTTTTTTTTTTTTTTTTTTTTTTTTTTTTTTTTTTTTTTTTTTTTTTTTTTTTTTTTTTTTTTTTTTTTTTTTTTTTTTTTTTTTTTTTTTTTTTTTTTTTTTTTTTTTTTTTTTTTTTTTTTTTTTTTTTTTTTTTTTTTTTTTTTTTTTTTTTTTTTTTTTTTTTTTTTTTTTTTTTTTTTTTTTTTTTTTTTTAAGTACTCTTTCTGCCCTGTGGGCACAAAGAGGGCCTCATTTTGCAAGCCCATTATGGGTTCGACCAGGCCCACAATGGGGCTGCCAGGTGGTGAGGGACGGGGCCCGACATATCCGAATGGACCACCCCCTGAAAAATTCCTTGGGATTTTTTGACCCATTCGGATTCAAACCCAGTCCCCCAGAGTGGTAGGTTGCCACCTTGACCGATCGGCCATTCGGCTGCTCACTTTGATGCTTAAGGCGGGTCTCATTCTCATTATCCAATCTTCTTTGGTATAGCTGCTTTTGGGAACGATCGTTCAAACTTTGCCAGCCACGACCACGAGGTCATTCATCATGCATTTTCAGTGAAATTAACCTATCCAATTTTGAAATTTCTCTCCATTTCATGTCGGCCCTGGTTGAATTTTTGTTGATGCGTAATGAAAATTTCTCGTTTTTGAAAAATAATCGTGGTTATTGTATCGTCCGAAATTATTTTTTTATTTTGCACAAACAATATACAGTTTAACCCGATTATAACGTCAATGGATGTAACGACAACCCTAATATAACGTCAAATTTTTATCGGTCCCACGATTTTACTATACTAGATAATGTTAAAAAACCTATTTGTAACAACACCCTGTTTTAATGTCATATTTGAAGCATTCCCAAATTTACAAAATTAGATTACAAATTTTTTTTATTCAAAAAATAAATTTAATAAAGAAAATCAAATTAAAACATGGTTTTATCAGAATCATTACAAATTTTATTTAACATAGAAGAAACTGTGTTTGGTCCTAAGGTCAGAGTTCACTTCTTAGAATGACTGTGGGTGGTGGTACTCTCCCCCACCTGACTTTGGTGGGGTGAGGTGCCTGTTTGTAGAAGAGGGTTGCCATTTTGTATTTTATTTTGACTTGTTTCTCAGTCCCCTGACTACCTAAAAGTCTGGATTTTTTTATGTGCAAATGATTTGGGCACCTAATACTCTGTGCCAAATATCAACTCTTGACATGTTCTCCTTCATATCTCTGTGCTGGTAACATAAAATGGCAGTACAATTTTATAAACAAGACAGTCTTGTCAAAAATGTGTGTATTCTTTATCATCATGAATTAATATTAAAATTATATTGGTATTTTATAAATTAATAGATAACAGTATTTTGTGTATATGCAAAAAGAAAAACTTTTTTATTATTGCATTCAAGGTAGTACTTATATGAAATATTTTGCCTCCTATTAAGTAGTCATTCCATTTAACTGGTTAATATTTTCTAGTTTCATGAATGACAAGTTAAGAGGTTTTCACAAAACAGAAGACAATTTTTTTTTATATAAAAGGGATTTTGAGTCTGTCTGTAATATCATTCTTTCTAAATAAAGTCATTGAAAGCAAAAGTAAAGAAGAGCTTATTCAAAATAAAAATAAAATTCCTGTACTTTTTTTATAACTGCTCTAATTAGCAATTCAGAAAATTCAATAACTAAACTAGTTAATTTTATAATTCAGATATTTTGTTAGCTGTTTTAATTGCTGAATAAAAGTAGTTGTTTTTTACATTTTTATCTAGTTAATACTATATCACTAATTTTATATTGCCTTTAACAAAGCATTTTTTTTATATTTTACCATCAAAGTTTTTCAAAACAGATCTAGATCCACATATATCACACATTAGATCCACATATATCAAATTGATCTTGTACGTTGAGCTTTTGTTTTGTAGATAGATATGTTGTTCTGACAATAAAAAAATAAATTAATTTGCAAAAAGTTAAATAAAATTTATCAAAAGTAATTTTTTTAAAATCAAAAGTACATTAAAATGTTTAAAGTTTTTGTAATTATATATATATACATACATACATAGTCTCTGACTTATGGACATCATAAAATCCTAAAAATAGTACAAAAGTTGAGCAATAGTTGCAATCTATAAATGGAGTTCTGTTTCAGAGAGCTAAAAATAAAAATTATAAAATTAAGATAGGAAAGTTTTATTCTTTACAGTAAATATGTTAAAATAAAAATACTAAACACACTTAATTAAAACAAATATTTTCAGCCTTATTGATAAATCTTTGTCAGGTTTTTTAAATAGAGATTCTATTTTTGGAATAAAATATTCTCTGATGTAAAATTATGTTTAGATAATAATGGATTTTTGATTACCCAATATAACACAAATTATAACAGAAATAAAATAGATTTAAATATAAAACTAAAAATAAAATACTTCTATTTTTAATTTTACTCTATATTTTATTTTATTTAGTTTTATATTCAAATATATTTTACAGGAAATCCTTGTTAATTTGAACTTGGATAGTACTTTGAAATCCTGTTAGTTAGTAACAGTACTTTTGTCCTAGCCAGGGATATAGAGATTTACATGTTAATGAATTCAGTTAATTTGAAATGTGGCTTCTACAAAATTTGAAGTGAAAATTCTGTCTGAACTGTATGCATATGTTAACTTGTTCATTTAGATCAAAGTGCCTTGATGCTATAAGAGAACAATAAACCAGGAACAACTAATCTGGTCATTATGGCTTTGCTTTTACAGTAACACATTTTAATGCTATCCTCAGAACAGTTTATTGCTTTGTGTTTTGCATTTAACACATGTCGTCCCAGTACTCGCTTATTTGTTTGGAGTTGTACATTGGACTTGTACAGATCTCGAGCAACTCCAGACCAAAACAAGAACAACAATTACTAAGCATAAACAGCATCATCTAAATCTGCCATAGAAAGATTAAAAGTGTCACCTTATTCATGGACTACCCCTTTTTTTTTTCTCATAACACTGTTTTCAGGATTGCAAGATTGCCCTGTAAGTAGAAGATTGAGATATTTTTAGGACTCTAGGCTACTATATTTGGGGGACTTACTACTTATTAAGCCACTTTAAAAATAATTTGAGCTACATTTTCTAGGAATTCAGTTATACTTTTTATAAAACCTATGTCAGTTTGTGAGGCTCTCACTAGACATGTACTGTTTATCTGATATTTATTTATATTATTATTAACAAAAATAGCATTCAGTATATGTAGCCATATTCTGTTTCCTTAATAAATTACAACATTTACGTGGCATTTGGCATATTGTACAGAAATATATAAATCTTGGATAATTAGAAACTCAATAATTTGAAGTTGCAATTATTTTGTTTCTTGAATTTCAAACTAATGAGGATTTCCTTTATTTCTGTTATAATTTTTATTACATTGGATAATCAAAAACCTGTTAAGATTTAAAAATGTAATTTACATCAAAGAATGCTTTATTCCAAAAATAGAATCTGTTTGATAAGTTTTCATCTGATTTCTAATCAGGTCAAAAACATTTGTTTTTAATTAAATTTAATTGCTGGAAAAGTGTGTGAGTGTTTATTATTTTTAAATACTGTGGAAGGTCCAGCTTTGACTATTATTGATATGTTAAAATGCATAAAACATTATTTAAAATGTTAATTCATTTTTGTTCTCTGTTTATAGTGTTTTTACAAATATTTCTAATGTTTAAAAAGGACTGCTACACAATAGCTTGAAATTTGTCAGTTGAAAATGCACAAAAGTCTGAATTTGATATACTGATTTCTGAAATCACTTTTAGTGCAGTACATCACATATGAAATAGTGAGTTCTTTAAAAGTCAAAGACTACCTATATTTAAAAATTGATACTGTCAAGTACAAAAATCAATTATTTAATATTTCATTAATCTATTTTTCCAATACAGTATACTATATTTCTTTTATTATAAGCTGTAATTTTTTAAGTGAATAAAAGGTATATATTTATTTACAGTCGGACATTCATTCAAACCAAAAGAAATTCAAATACAAATGACTCGGATCAATTAAGAAAAAATAATGAGCCCTTTTGGAAAAATTCAAAAGATAATGAAAGAGGAAATTGGAGAAATAAGGGAAATAATGATGAAAGAAGAAATAACTTGAAAGAACGACAAGGTTGGGGAAATCAGTCAGGAAATAATGAAAGAAGACAATTTGATCCAAATTCAAGAACAAATTGGAATAATACTTCAGGCAGTGGGGAAAAAAAACAATTTTATGATAGAGAGAAATCTAATTGGCGAAACAAATATAGCAATGAAGAAAGACAGAATAATGATCGTTCGGGTAGGCGTAATAAATATTTTGATGAAGAGAAACAAACACATAATGATAGAGAGAGATCTTATTGGAGAAATAAACCAAATGATAATTATCAAGAAGATAATTGGGATAATCAGAATAACAGCAAAAAAGATTTTGAAAATAGTGAGCCATCATCATATAAATCTAGATATAGTAATAATGAAAAAAGAGATTACAATAATAAAGGATCAAATTTTAGAAGTGGTAATTCAGAAGCAAAAACTACAATGAAAGTTGCAGCTTGTTACACAGGAAGAATAATAGGTAAGGTTGTTGTTTGTTATACTTTAAAATATTACATTTTCGATATTTATTTTTAATATTTTAAAAGCTGTTTAAAACGATGATGATAAATTTGCACGGTCATGATTTTAGTCACAATTTCATGTCAAAGAAAAAAAATTAAAAAAAAAATTTTGGATGGAAGAACTATGATTGGATGATATGAATTTTTATAATGTATTTGGGTGCATGTGTTTGGGATGAAGGATCTCATTAAACTGTTAAAATGCTGTTTATTGAAAGAGGTTCATTCTTTGCACAATACCTGATCACTTGGAATGTTTACATTTATTCACAAGAAAGGTCTAAACATGATTTGTCATGTTCTTTGCAAAGAGAGTAGATAGAATCTCTGAAGGAGGGAAGGTTTTGATATCCAGGAGTGAACACAAGTATTTGGCAGACAACTTTGAAAGTATTTCAGAGAAGTAGATATACATTGGTAGGAACTAGCCAAAGGCTATATGCACACATTTGAGTAGCAGCAGCTGCAGCTCTCTTATAATTATATGAAAGATGCACATACATCTGCTGGCATTTATAAAAAATAAATGACTGTGTTCCAAGGATATAGGTTTTTATAGATTTAGTTTCTTGAATGGACATTGTAATTGACTTCAAATCTTATTTCTTGTGACTCAATTTGTCTTGCCTCTGTTTCCAAGTGAAAATGGAAAATCCCTCAAGATTATGAGAAAGGTTAATGTTGGTTTGAAACCAACATTAACCTTTCTCATGATAGATATTTTTTTATGATCTTAAGAGCATTATTGTTTAAATTAGATAGTGTATAAGACTAAGTGATTTAATATGGACACTATAAACAATGCCTGGTCATTATGAATAATAACAAACAACATCAAGCATTGTAATAAATTTTGTGTTCTTTGTAATGATTTATCACATTGACTGGTCAATATGAATATTGCTAACATCTGTCAGGCAAAGTGATGATAATGATACTTTGAAGAATAATCATTCAACAAGATATTAAATTTTTTTACACTGTATACAAAAATGACATTCCAAAAGTTTCCTTTAAGTTGATTTTTATGACAAAATTATATCATTTTTGTTAATAATTAAATTAATGTTATTAAATGTATTAATACTTTTTGTTAATACTTAAAAACTGAATAGTTTTTAAAAGTGAAATTTTTAAAAATTATTTTACTAATATTTTGTTCAATGCTATGTGCAAAGTATTTGCCAAAGTTAATAAATAGAATCATTATTAAAATAAATTATGTCGTGTGTGATTTAATAAAAAGTTTAATGTACACCTACATTAATATAAACCACATAATATGAGCAAAATTTTCTTAAAATACTGAAATAATTTGCAAAAATAAATAAATCATAATGAAAAAGTGGACCTCCTCATTTTTTATTTTTATTTTTTTAAGATTCAAATTGCCCAAAGGAAATATAACTTTATCCATAATGTCTGGTCAATTTAATAAATTAATCAATATTTATCAGGCTGCATGGCCATCTTAGTCATTATTTATAATGGCTGGGCATTATGAATAATGACCTATTAATGACTTGGCCCATAACACACACTTCTCATCAATAGTTAGATGCTAAGTTCAAATGTTTGGAAAATACCTGCCAGGAATGTTGGTCCAACAGGAACAAACAATATTCTATATCAATATAACTATTGCTAAATCATTTTTTTTAATGCATACTTTGCCTTTCTTTTCATTTAACAAATTTGAAGTAAAACTATTTTATATTGATAAGATTTTTTTGTAACAATTAAATGTACCATAATTTTTTATGAAACTTTGTAGAGTAATTACAGTAGAAATGCAATAAATTTCAGTAATAAACAGATCATTTTAAGTTTACATTTGTAGTCATATACTGACCATAAAGAGTTAATATTGATTTCAATTAATATATATTAAAATATTTTTTTAAGAATCAATGTAAATATGCTCAATTTTAGAATCCAATTTGTAATTTTGATATAAAATTTTTAAATAATTTAAAACACGTTTAAAAATTTTAAACTACTATATGTTGTATAAATATGAATTACTCATTTGTTTTCTTCTTTTTTTTCTAATGGAGTGATTTATTTATATATTTTTAAAATATAAGTAAATATTATACTATAAATTGCAATAAATTGTAGGCCGTCAAGGATCAAAAATTCATAGTTTAGAAGACTCTTCACAAACTAAACTCAAAGTGATACCACAGGAGGGTCAAGAAACAATTGTAGAAATAATTGGTCCTGAAAGTTGCAGAGAGAGAGCTAAGGAGCTTATACAAGAACTCATTGCACTAGAATATCCTGGTAAAATATTTTTAATAGTTTAAGAAATTAACTTTTAATGTTTAGTATAAAATTTACACAAAAATAACTGTTTTCAGATAATTTAAATAGGTTTATTTGTGTAAATTTTATATTAAATATGAGTTTTACTTAAAAACCTAAAATCTTCAATATCATTATTGCTTTTATTAATTTCTAATAGTTAATTCTGAAAAGTTTAATTAAATAATTGATTTTTCAGCACAACTTTTGTTCCCTAAATAAATAAGTGTTTAAAAGTAAATTAACATTTTTATATTAATGTTAACTTTTGTTAACATTTTTATATTGTAATAAATAGCAAAATTTTACAATTTAGATAACTTTAGAATTTCCAGAAATAAGTTACAGTACAATAACTGTACTATAACTTAATTATTTTTTGCTTTAAGACAATTAAAATGTGAAGAACATATATACAGTAACAGTTTAGAACTTTAGACTTTTTTATTATATTTTGAACTAATTTTTAATTTTACTCAACTGTGCTGTATTAATATTTGTTATTTAGTATGTACACTTTTTCAGTGGTATGTACCTCCTTTGTTTCATTATTTGGTGACATTTATAATAGTGTCAAAAGCTTCTTGTTAAACTTTTATTGTATTTAAGTACTTTAAAGCTTATTCAGTAATGATAGAAATAATTAAAAGATTATATAAACCTTATATAAATATTCAGGATTATATTGGAACTGATTTCGGAATTATGTGATAGTTATCTTAATATTTTTCTTTACAAATTATTAAACATTTTTATATTTGTGCATATGACTATTTATGCATCCTTATAAAAAGAACAGATTTTATAGGCCTACAACATAATAATGAATCAGTGCTCATTATATTTATAGTAGTGATAATAATTTAAAATTTATTCCAACTTTGAAATCAGATTACAATTGTATTTAATTTCCATTTAATTAAATTATATATATTTGAGTTTTATAGAAAGTTTAAAAGTTTTATTAATTTTATTAGTCAGATCAGAACAACGCAATCATAAACAACACATGGAAAGCAGACAAAATGCTGATGTAGTTCAGTTAACAGAAGAAACAGATGTTAAAAAGGAAACACCAACAATAAATTGGAAAGAGTTAATAGCAGCTAGTCAAGAAGAAAAAACAAGAAAATGGGAAAGTAAGTTTTAAAATTTAAGAATTTAAATATAAATTTTATTAAAATTAAAGTAATAGGTATTTAGTGCAATCACACTGCTAATATGTACTGTAAATATGTACTGTAAAAGTTTTTAAAATTTCTTTTATGTTGCAATGTGAATTGCATTTGTTTTTATTTATAGTTAATATTTATAAGAATATTTAGGAATTGATATGGATTAATAAAACACAGAATTACTTTAAATTAACAACATTAATTGGCCATGTGCAAGACTGATATATTTAAGGGGGAAAATTTATATAATGAAAACTTTTCATTAAAAAAATTAACCATTCAAAATTACTTTAAAAGAACTATATTATAAGGAAACCAACCAAAGAGTCATTTTCAATCAATATCTGACCATTGTCAGCTTACAATCTTAATATTTAACAGTTTAGAATAATGCAACATAGAATATACAAAATAATACCTTCTAAATTAATATTCTTAACAGTTGCATTTTGTTTCAAATTCAAAATTTGTAATAGAACTTGTGAAATTACATAAAATAAGAATTATATTTTATTTTGATTATTTATTTTATTTTAATATTATTAATATACAGGATGCATATGAAATTTGCAATGCTTGGATATGGCTAAAAAATTCCATCAATTTTTTTATTTCTGTAAGAGGTTAATTGGAAAATTCACCTAGTTGTACAAATCTCTACAAAATACCTAGGTTTTGTTTATTTTTTTTTATATTTTATTTTATTTGTACATTAAACTTTTAAATGTTAAGATTGCTGAAAATGGTCAGATCTTAACTGAAAACATATCTTTTTTAATTAATAATAGTTATCTTCCTGAAGTTAGCAATTATTTATTTACTGAAAACATTACATCCTTTTATAATTGTGCCTTGTGGAATAGAATTGTTGGAAGTGGAAATAAGGAAGATTTTTCTTTTTGCATAGAAAAGACAAATCTCAGAGAAATTTTCAACATTATTGGCCAATCTAAAACAACAGTTTGATTTGCCTTATGAAAAAGACAGTTCTTGCTCTCCTGCTTGATATAGATAGAAAAAAAGTCATGATCTCAGAAAGGATTTAACTTTTGTGATGTGATATTTTTTCTTGTAACTATGGCTCCAAAATCAACACTATCAACCAAATAATTGTACTCAACTAGAGATCATTTTTAATATACAGGATGATTCAAAAGTCGCAGAAATTTTAAAATTAATAGCTCACAAACTATTTACAGTAAGATAATGCAGTTTTTACAGCAATGCTTAAAGAAGTGGGATTTTTTAGGTGTAATAAAAATTTTAGTACCAAAATAGTTACATTTCTTGGTATAGGTCGGGCTGTAGAAAACTGAATGCTTCTGTAAATTTGTTAAAATAAGAATAAAAATATAAAAATATTCTTAGTGTAACCTCTAGTAACAACTACACAAATTATGTAATCTTATCAAGCGTCATCTATGGCAAAAATTAACTATTCTCATACTAAAATTTTTATTACACCTAAAAAATCCCACTTCTTTCTAAGCATTTCTGTAAAAACTACATTATCTTACTGTAAATAGTTTGTGAGCTATTAATTTTTTAAAATTTCTGTGACTTCTGAATCACACTGTACAAGATAAATGTCAAAAATATAAAAGTTTATCAGACAAGGTATAGAAAAATGAAATCACAATTATCACCCATGTACAAAATGTCACAACTTCATTTGACCAAATAAGTGACATTTTTGAAAGAGGAATGAAAAATCTGTGGTCATCTCAGGGAGGATATGAGATTAGGAGTCAGTTCATCAAGGGGAGTTCAATTTAGATGGGCTAGGTGGTAAAAACTGTTTCTTGGCATAACCGATGTAAAGAAAAACATATTGTATTTATAGTCATCAAATGGATGAAGGTTCCATTATAATTTGAGGAGCCTTTTTGTTTGGAGAGAAAATTGATCATATTATAGTTCCTGCTTGAGTGGACTTAGCAGTTTATTAGGAAGTACTCTGATACACTGATTCTATTTGGTCTACTTATAGCTAGGAACGATTGGAAGTTTTAACAGGACAACTGTTGAAACTTCCAATCATGTGTCAGCTTTAACAAAAAGTTACACTACTCAAAAACCTTTTTAAACTGCAGCCAAATTTATTATCAATTTCAAACGTTTTCAGTCATCTTTAATGACCTTTATCAAGAACAAACAAAAATCAAATGCTGCTGGATTTGTATTAACGATAAATGAGTTTTGGAACGCATTTAAAAAACTTATAGTGCACAATCTTGTGCTGTTGGGTTACCATTATAAGTGGGCATAAATAAAATAAAACAAATAAAAAATGATAAGATACATCAAATAAATACATAGATGAAAATAAAATAAATTACTAAAACATAACTATAAAAGCAAAAACATTAATGCATGTGTAGCCAGATCGCACACTTAATATGTGTGCTTTTCTAAATGTTGTTTCACTATTTACTGTTACTTCACTACAGTTCTTTCCTGTTGAAACTTTACATTACGCTTGATCTCCATGCTGCCGATATCTTACTTGCTTCTCTAAAGTTGATTGCTTGTCCTTCTTGACTGGTTTTGTAAATATGCCAAGCCTCTGCATACTTGAGGTGTTTCTTGTCGTGAATTTTTTGTATCAACTTTGCCTTATCCCATTTCGCTATAGCTTTGATGTATCTTATCATCTTTTATTTGTTTTATTTTATTTATGCCAATATATTTATAACAGTAACCCAATGGCACAAGATTGCACACTACAAGTTTTTTAAATGTGTTCCAAAACTCATTTATTGTTAATACAAATCCAGCAGCATTTGATTTTTGTTCGTTCTTGATAAAGGTCATTAAAGATGACCGAAAATGTTTGAAATTGATAATAAATTTGGCTGCAGTTTAAAAGGTTTTTGAGTAGTGTATCTTTGTTAGAAATGCAGTATACGAAGAGATTAACAAAAGGTTGGAAAGGTTGCAAAAGAAAACATTTGAATATTGTATTTCTAAATTATAATCATAAAAAATATTTTAACTTTTACAAACTAAAAGTGAAAATATTTCAGTTACACCATTTTGATAATCATGAATCTTACTAATTTAGTACCTGTTACAACCAAAATGGTCAATAGAGCTAAAAGCATTAAAATATTATTTGACGTTTTACCTCCAAGAAAAATTAACGTTTTTAATCGATAAGAAATATATTTTGATATCGCAGCTTTTTTTATTTAAATTGAATGCATTAAAACCAAAAAGTTGAAAATTGTTTTAAATATATTTAAATATTACACGACCACCGATTGAGATCTTATGACTCTCAGTAACGGCTAACTCAATGCATTGAAAAGCAATGTTCTAAACAACACTTATCTCAGAGATTTTTACAATATATTACAAAATTTCAGATAAACTGTATCCAGATAAATAAATATTTTAAGACTATAATCAACTTGTGATAATAGTTTTAATAAAATTGGCAACAGCTCTTGCTCGACCTTCCCGGCACTGTAACAAGTAGTTAAAGAGACCTTAGGGAAGTCTAATTTTCAGTCATTCTATGATACAAAATTTAAGTAATAAAAGAAGCTTAAAAGAAGTAATTTTGATNTGGAAGTTTACCTTAAAAATATTTTACATTTTAAAAATTTTTATATTTTATATTGAAAATATTGCAATTCTTTCATGGATATTGTGTAGCCCAAACTTCAACCCCATAGAAAATGTGAGAGATATTCTGGTATGAAGAGTATATGCAAATTTGCAGTTTTCAAGCACATGAATTAACCATTACAGTTATGGATGGGCTGAAGTTCTCACTTTTGCTAAAACTGATTGAATAATTGTCAAAAATGGTGGTGTAACTAACTTATTATTGATATCTATTTCAAAATTAGGTTTATACACAGTCTTATGTTTATACACTAAACTGGCCTTTTGTTGTATTTTCCTGATTATTATGACTGAAATTTGATTTCTTTGGAAAAATGATAATTTTATTTTAGTCTTTACAGTGTGTAATGTTCTATAATTTCATATCTATGAAAAGTATAATTTACAAGAATTAATGTATCTTATAACAAAGATTTTTCTAGAATATTCTAATTAAACAAATTATATAAACATAGTTTGCTTTTCAACTTTTAATTTATTATCATAAAAATGTTTTAAAGAAACAATAATTATTATTATTGAATAAGTAAATGTATTCTTTTAGAAATGCCACCAGTGAAAAAAAATTTCTACGTTGAAGATCCTAAAATTAAATCAATGTCATCAGATGAAGTTGAAGAATTCAGGTAATTCAAATAATTAAAAATTTTATTTTTATACTTTTAAAATAAATTATATATATGAACTGTTATAAGCAAACTTACTTTAAATTAGTATTGTCATTTATTCATGAGCTGAAATTTATTTATTTTTATGATCTAAGTATGTCATTAATAAATTAATTTGTTTAAGTTGATTTAACATACTTAAATTGTTTGCTGTCATTAAAAGATACCTCCTAAAATATTAATGTTGTGTATTGAGGAATATCATTTGTTATAAATGAAATTAATTTATCCTGAGCATTTTGATGTTTGTTTCATTTGTAACTTTTTAACAAATTTTTCCTAATTTTGCAGTGTTTAATTTTTTTCTGAATTACACAAGGAAAATTAGTTCAAAAAATGATGGGGAAAGAAATGAAGAAAATCATTTTTTAAATTTTATAATTTTAAAAAAGTTAAAGAATTTTATAAATTCTTTAGCTTTTTTTAAAAACTTTTACAGAAGTTTTTTGAAGTATATGCAAATATACCTATTTGTAAATAAAAGAGAATATGTCAGTGATATGTCTGAATAATTTCATTAGAAGTATAAACAGTTTCATATAATTAAAATTTTAATTGTTTTCACTTGTGAGAATGCGAGAGTGGAGAAAAATTTATTTGAAAATTTATTCATCTTACTTATTACATGTTGGTGCAGTCTTAGATTTTCCCACTTGATTAATAATTCCAATGTAATATTTTAGCTTTGACCAAAAATCGTAGTTTTGTATGGGAAAGGGAAGTAGAATTTTCCTTAGAAACTTCTTATCACAATTATTTGACGAACATCTGTCCCTTTTGTCAGATGTATGTTCTGTCAGATGATCAGAATACTAAAATCTGATAGGTGGAAACTTAGAATAAAAAGGGGACAAATTCACGAGTTTGGGGCAGTCCATAACGAAAGAACTTGCCACAGAGACAGGCAGTCAACATTAAGAACAACCTGCCATATTAACCGCAGTCAATGACCAGAAGAAACCTGCCATAATATTAGAAAAAGAAGATAGTCCCGCTTCGACTCTCTAGTGTTCATCTCACATTCTCCAAGTTTGATCGACAGAGGTATTATCATTATTTTTAATTGATTGTAAACTCTCTCTCTCTCTTGCATTTAGAGATGTATTTTAGATAGGTTCAATTTACAATAGATTATATTATGTATCTTGATTTATGTATTGCTTTGTTTTATTTTACTCATTAAATCCTTTGTTGTTTAAGAGTCCCATAAGGCCCCCCCTAGTCTCTCACTTGCAAGAGGACTTGTCAACATTCATCCAAAATTAATATGGGATTGTTGCAAAATTCATTTAGGATGATTTTAACTGATTATTTAATAAAAATGTATTTTAGATGATAGAATGTTAAGTTTATAACTATATATTATGATTTGAATATTTTTGAGTATATTATTAATAGATCTATGCTTTAAAATTATTGAGTGAAGTAGAACACTTGTATTCATGTAGTTTTTCTAATTTATTAGTAGTTCTTTTGCAAGTTTTGTACATGGTGTAAAAATTGGGACAAATGCAAATGCCTCTCTGCTTGTTTATTTCTCAGTTAAATCACAAAATTCGTTCACAGCCTGATACTTGTGATTAGTTATGACAATTAGCACTTAATCGTTATTCTGTTCTTGGCAATGCACTCCAAGTTGATTAGTTGTGCTACTCAGAAGTGAATCTACCAGCTTGGCATTGATTTTGTCCCAAACCTCTTGGTTCTACAGTTGGTTTTTGAGGGTAGTCCTCAGGATTTTGATTAGGTTAATATCAGGATTTAAGGCCTACCAATCCAGGACATTGATATTGTTGTCCATGAACCACTGTTGTGTTGACTGTACAGCATGTTGGCATGCATGATCTTGCTTGATGACTGCATCCCTCCAAATAGATCAAATTTATCATTTCCAAAAGACATCATGCAAGATATTTTGATATTGTTCAATGTTAATGGACCCTTGAATGATTTTGAGTAGTGTGGTCCCTTAATTAATTAAGTGCAAATTTATGTAATTAGAATATGTTACAGATGGTTATCAACTTTTTAAATGACTTTCATACAAACTTTTTATGCATTAAAAAACGCCTTTTTTTTTAGTCTTTGGAGTTAAGACATTCTCTGATAATCTTGTTTCTGAAATTTTTGAAATATAAAAGACTTGCATGAATTAATTTCCTATTCTTGTTAAGATAACTGATTAAATCCTAATTTTGTTTGTTCAGTTAGAGTAAAAACATTAAGTTATACATCATTTTGAATGACAAGGTATAATTTCTTAGTTACTTTTCTTACATAGAATGTTTTTAACCTATTATTGGATTAAGTAATCATAATAAAGAGTCCCTCTCTCTAGCTTCACAATTCCTACACAATACATTCTTGAAAGAAAACAGAAAATCTATAATTATTTCTTCTCTTATAGGGAATAGTATGCTGCTCTGAGAACTTCCAAGTTACTTTTTAGAAAACATTGACATGTTGGAGCTTAAGGACATTTTTAACTTTGTTCATTAGTACTCAAATTTACTTCTTTGGTGCAAACATTCAATGTTGCTTTTTTGTGCATTTTGTTATAAAAATAACTTTATTTATGTGAATTAATGTTTTCTGTTAACTTACTGTTTTTGTTTTTAACACAAATACTTAGAAAGTTTATCTACCATGCTTTAATTTGTTGTTTTGACATAATCCAATTTATCTGTTGTTATTAACTTTAGTCATTAATTAATGCAAAAATGATTTGTCAGTTGTTAAATATTTTTGAAATTTCATTAATCTATCTCGAAACATTCCTAAGCCTGATGTATTAATCTTAAACCAAACTACTGCCATAATCAGACTACAATTAATAATTAGTATTAATATTAAAGTAGAAATTTCTAATTTATAAATGACAACATCTCAAAGCCCAAGTAATATACAATAAATCACCAAACGATCATTTGGTGATTTATTGAATACTAATTTAGAAATTATTATTTCCATATAATAGCTCAATTAATTATGGCAGTAGTTTGTTTTAATTCACTAATATTTGAAATTTTAACAAAACATCTTAAACTTTTTGTTGTGAAATTATTGTAATGCAAATTATTTTCTAATGAGCTCAACTTGGATGTATGTCTGCTGTCATGTTTTGCATCTGAAAGGTTGTTATGATTAGAAATTTGTCTTAAAGAAGATCTAAATTAACATTATATGATAGAACTACAAACTAATACTTGTTTTGGTAGTTTTTAATATTTTTTTTTTTGTTTTTATTACTGAAAACTTTTACTTATAAATTGCTAAAAATATCATTGTTCATAACTTCCTCACAACTGTTTCAATTGATTAAGTAAAAGTCCTTTGCAGTTATCTAGCATTGGAAAAAATCCAAAAAAGCTACTATTTACTGTAGCAGTAAAACAAAATTTACACCTCATCAGTGAAAAAGTGAAATTACCTTTTTTTAAAGCTCTTATTAGCTTAGTTGCAAATTCTTTCTATGCTATATAGCACTGATAATGTAGAAACCAAAAATCTTGTTTGAAATAACCAACATAAAAGTTAGTTGCATTTTGTTGTTTGTTCTAACTTTTATTTTCTTATAACTTAATTTGGAATTCTATACCTTAATGATTATGATTTATCAAGATAAGGGCTTTAATTGTAGGGTTTTTGTTGCCTTGTTTGATATATATATCTTAATATATATTGTTTGATATAATAATCTTATATAAATTTTACATTTATATATATATATATAGACAGTAGAGCATCGATTATCTGACTCAGTTGGGGACTCGAGTTGGTCGGATAACTGAAAAGAATGAAAAAAATATATTAGTATAGTATATTAGTATATCCCATGTAATTAGTATAATAGTATATCGCTATTAACCTACTTGCGTTGAATTTTCATCAATGTTAAGCCTAACAAAAATTTTTTTGTAATACTAATCGTCGTTATTGTATCGGTAAAAATTATTTTTTAAATTATTTTATTGCTTACAAAACAAACAACCACTCATAATTAGAAAATTAGGGCTCATTTAAATACTGGCATCCCTTTCATGGTGAACCAGGGTTGCCAGCTAAAACACGCAAAAATTTAATAAAAATAATATTAAAGTCAAGACATAGCCAAATATTGTAGCGCCACATCACTAGCAGACATTTGAAATTTGCCGACTAGAACGGTCAGTTAACTGGGGGTCAGATAATCGATGCTCTACTGTATATATAAATAAATGTAAAATTTATATACANTTTTTTTCAGTTTATGCCGTTGAAATAAATAAATAATTAAAAAAATAAAAGAATTTGTCGGTTTTGTTTACACGTTTATTGGGCCGCATTGGAACTTGCCTTGGGCCGCATGCGGCCCGAGGGCCGCGGGTTGGACACCCCTGCCCTAGAAGTTCGAGTTCGCTACTTCGAAATTTAATAGCAGTAAATCCCCTAATACACAAGTTACCTTGCCAAATATTTTTTTTATAATCTTATCCCCATCCTGAGAAATTAAATGAAATAGATGTCAACACACACCGGAATTCCCCCCTTTTTGACTTTTTTGGAGAATCAAATTTGACATGAATAAAATATTCTTCACAAAATCTTGTATAATGGCTGATAAATACTTATATTTATTATATGTCTCTTCAATCCGAATGGTTAACAAACGGTAGACTTTCTTTNTGGATAACAAACATGCCATATATAATATATCAATAAAAAAGCACACATTTTACAAGAAAACTTAGTAAATTTACTACGCTTGAGTAAAAATTTACATAAACATAACAGAATACTTATAAATTAGCCTGAATTATACGACGCTCCACGTGCAATTATTGCTCGCCTTTTCAATCCCCATTTTAGCGGAAAAACTGTAACTCTGCATCATCTTATTGCCCAATCATGACACCATCGACCTCTTGTTGCTCCTTTCTTCTGGGCATATGAGCACTGGCGTGACTAAACTACTCGTC